ATAAACGACGCAAGGAGTGGATGGGAATGCGCATTTTAGACGTTCACTTTTTTCCAGAATGTTGTAATGTCATTTAACAATTTCGTTTACATTGGGGAAGCTTGTGCTGTAAGTTAAGCGTGGGTTTGTTTGTTGCTGGTCTTCTTGCGGTGGTCGCTTTATAAGTATGTCATCACGTTTTAGTTTTCTAGCTTTCTGAACGGCGTCATCAACTATACTTGTGGGGTATTTTGTTTATAGAGCAGGAGTTTTAGCGTCTGTGAACTAGTGCCAAAATTTATAAGTATGTCATCACGTTTTAGTTTTCTAGCTTTCTGAACGGCGTCATCAACTATACTTGTGGGGTATTTTGTTTATAGAGCAGGAGTTTTAGCTTCTGTGAACTAGTGCCAAAATCAGCGTCTCTTGATCGGATTCGCTTAAACTGGCTGTACAGAGTACTGTTTCTACAGTGGCGCAGGTGATCGCTTTGATAATGGAGGTATTGTTGTCGATCCGTTGGTTTTGCGATATTGGGTTGTAGAGAACTTGTCTTCTTCTATTGTTATGGTAATATTAAGAAACGTTACGGTTGCTTGCGAGTAGGTGTGTGTGAAATGTATGTTTGGATGTACAGCGTTGTAAGTGTCAATAAAAATGAGAGGTTCATCTTCGCTGTAGGTTTGAATAAGAAAGTTGTCGTCTATATATATGTTCTGTATAAGAGTGATTTCAAGGAAATTTGTGCAAGAAATTTGGATTTTAGCTTTCTGATAAATATGTTTGCATAATTGAGTGCCATTCGGATGCCCATAGCGGTCTCGATAATTTGTAAAAATACTCTTAGTAAAAGTTTAATGAATTTACTTCCAGGACCATCCTCGACAAAGTTGCGATGGCAGAAATATGTGGGGTGTCAGGTTGTCTTTGATCTGTGTACAGGTTTTGTAATGCAGCTAAGCCGTTATCATGAGGAGTATTTGTATAACATGAAGACACATCAACAGTAACCAAATACGAGTTTTTCGGCAAACACAGACCTGCAATGTCTGCACTTAGAAACTGCACATGGAAACTGCACATGGAAACTCTGCACATGAAAACTGCAAATAATGCACAAGAAAACTGCACATGAAAATCTATACATGCCCATAGATAGATTTCTGCACATGGAATCTGCACATGGAAATGTCTGCACATGGAAACTGAAACTAATGCGAGCGCCACGAATTCTGATTACACTGAAGCCACGGGTACTCTTTATATTCTGTGGAGTCTCCCAGTACAGAAGAATAACCAGCCTCGTAAACCAACCACACACAGAAACACAGAACTGGCGTTCAATATCAGCAAGTTGATTTTTCTACTCCGGGGTCAGACAGCCAGTACGCCATAAAAACGCGCATACGTGACACGAACAAAATTCAAAGCAGACGAAAGCTTCCTATGTATTTCTACATTGATAGCCGTACTCCTGCTAAACATTTCAAAGCGCTTTTTTTTTACTAAAATGAGCCAATTTTGTACTTTTGAAGACAACATCGGGAATGCCTCCCCAGACCATTTCCTAGTTTTATCAGACAGTATTGCTGATAATACACGTGCATTTTAGTTTGCGCTCATCGTCATACTTCAAGCAAATTATACCCTGACAGTTTGTATGTTTGCGGCTTGCTTTTTAAAAAAAGCGTACCTTCATTCTGCTTTGAAAAGTAATCTTTGAGAAAAGTTCTCAATATTTTTGTTTTTTTTAATTAGTGTGGTTCACTCTGTTTTGCTACTTGTTGTAGTGAGCATTTTTCAAAGTATAGTTATTGCATGATCATGTATTGCTTCAAAACGAACAGCCTCAATGACAAAAATAAAGAAAATTTCATCAATACGTAACAAAATATCTTAGCGATAAAAGGTGCTAACATCATGCCGCCTATGCCAACTACATTTTCATCATATACTGGTAGAAATAATGGAAGGTCGCCCAGTTTACCTAACTTACAGGTTCGTGCAAACGTCGGAGGTCATGAAAGGAGGTGATCCATAGAGGCGTCACAACGAGTTTACCAGGATTCGAGGAGTTCTCTTTTCCCTTGTCCTGTTCACAGGTCATCGTTGTTGCTCCTGTTATTCGAGCCCTGTCCATAAGACAGAGACAGAAACAAGCGTTTTCCTTTTCGGCGAGAAGGTGGGCAGGACCGCCAACATTTTCAGTTTTACCTGTTTGGTCGCAAAAACTTGACTCCCCCCCCCCCCCAAAAAAAAACCTTCATTGACGGCCATGCTAGCGGGACTGAAAAGAGACAAAAAATGCTGCAGCGTGGCACTATTCTCTCCCGTGAAGAACACAGACAACACGGCTTGGTTTTCGAGACGGTGGTGCCCTCCCTTTTCTCTCTCTCTCTTGCCCCGCCGCGGTGGTCTAGTGGCTAAAGTACTTGGCTGCTGACCCGCAGGTTGCGGGTTCGTATCCCGGCTGCGGCGGCTGCATTTCCGATGGAGGCGGAAATGTTGTAGGCCCGTGTGCTCAGACTTGGGTGCACGTAAAGAACCCCAGGGGTCGAAATTTCCGGAGCCCTCCACTACGGCGTCTATCATAATCAAATGGTGGTTTTGGGACGTTAAACCCCACATATCAATCAATCAATCAATCAATCAATCCCTTTTTTTTTCTTACTTTCCTAACCATGCCACTCCGTCCTACGTTGAGCTGTGCGGTCAAGCGGTCTGCTGAAGTAACTATTCACACACACACACCCTCTTGCACAGAAAATTCGGGCGTCCCGCAACCCTTGTTGATGGTGTTTGGCACAAAATATAGAAAAAAAAGAGCAGAGGCTGTGCCTGTCTGTGCTCTCTTTCTTCTTTTCCTTTTTTGCGCGAAACTTCATCTACACTGAAATACTTACTCGCCCAACGTTCGGTTCTTCTATGATCTACAACCTGTTTGACCTAGCGACCCGACCATTTCTTCTTTACGCATTACTCGCCACTGGTCTCGTCAGCTGCTTTCTTCCTTCTCTTGTTCTAAAAGAAAGACGACCCTCGAAATTTAACATTTGAGATAACGCTTATACAATAAAAAAAATTTGACCAAAATTGGTGCGTGTATAAGTTCTAAAAGTCTGCACCAGACCAACTGACCTTGCTCAATTCACTATATTTAAAAATAATTTGGACTGATTTCAGTTATTCATGTTTTAATAGTACAGCATGCATGATAGATTTAAATAATTTATACGCAGTGGTAGACCTCGGCCCGGAGTTTGTTAATATGGAAAGTGAGCAAATATTACCGCTTTTCTGTGATAATACCAAAAAGTCTTCTAGTCAGTTAGATTTACGTATTGCAATTATTACCTATTTATGGAATCAACCAACAACCATGAAACTTTCCATCATAGCATATCTAATCAGTGCTCTAAATACCAGAGTGGTGTGATTAAAATTATTGAAATTATGTTAAGAAAAAGACTCCTATGCCATACACTGCATTATTGAAAGTTCAGCTGACGTTCACTGACGTCCTGTAAAATTAGCCTTTTATGACCTGTTTCCTCATTAAGGTAAAATTACCTATTTCAGCACTACGTGACATATAACTCAAACGATACAGATAATCCAAGAAGAGCTCACTCGCCAATTTCGCACCGCACCAGCGAACGCCGAGTCTCTCACCACTCGGGGGATCAGAACGTGTCGTTCGCTGCCAGGAACCATCACACGATCACCGTTTGCACAACTGCCTTCTGTCGATGATAACCTTCGTTAATGCTTGTAGTCGCTTGTGATATCCAGAAGGCGCACAGAACGATTTCTTTTTCCCGAACGCGGCCGAACGCTTCGCACAATCCTCATGGTACCGGCTTGGTCTTCGCCATGTTGGTTTGCGGGGTACGGCCTCCCGGAGGCGAGGCTGCTTACGTCACTCCTCGAACAGCCAATTAATGCAATTGAGCGATGAGCCGGAGCGATTCGGGAGCATCCACATGGGCAAAAGCGATGTGCCAGATTATTTCCGGAGCAACCACGGGAGAATAATTAAGAGATTGGCTCCGTTTTCGCGGTTTTTTTTTTCGTCCGGCACCCACCGGAGAAAAAACAGTGGAAAACAAATGTATTTGCTTCGGTACAAACAGGTTTGAGTGAAGCCACCGGAGCAGAGCGGGCCCATCATTTCCCGATTCCTCCCAGCTGGGTATATTTTTGTTTACGGTGAATGATTTGAAGTCACCATTTGGAACTGCATTTAAGAAAGTTAAAATATTAACTTTTCATTTAGGGGAGTTGGGGAGTTAAGTCAAGCGAGAGTATTGAAGTCCTTCATGGGAAGAAGCTTTTGCCACTTTGAGATTTAGGAAAATCGGCCTCTAGTAATAACAGCGAAATTATGAAATTCTCGGCAATTCTACCGCGAAACTGAAACCAAAGGTGCGATGAGTGCAACAAGCAGACGGCTACGGTAATGTCACTGTTCAAAACAGTGGTTACAGGGGTGCAGTTTTTGCTCTTTCGCTAACGAATGTGCTTCATGCGTGCTGTAATTGCAATCGAAGCCCACACACCCGCACAACAAAGTTGGTTCATGGTTGATATAACTAAGCTCCCTTATTGCGGACGTCTCAGAAGAATAAGACACTTGCGCCCTTTCGCGTTTTGGTATTGCCGCAGAATTCACGGGAACTTTATTATTTCACTGTTAATAATAGAGGCCACTTAAAAAAATTCAAGTGGCAATGATTTCTTCGCATGAGGGACTCTGATTCTCCCATTTGACTTAACGACGTAGCTGCAATAATCAAAAAGGTAAATATTTCAGGTTTCCTAATTACTGTTCCAACTGGCGCCTTGAACCCTCTTAAAATGCCTGCCGCTACAGAAAAAAGCAACTATGGAGATAGCTACCAAATAGCACCTTTTGTAGGTTTTAGAGAATAATAAATAAATATCTTGAAAGACCCTGTACATAGTGAAGTTCACGATGAGCTAGAGCTGACTGATTAGCAGTGTTCTTTTTGCTCTAACAGCGTGCAGGCCGGTGAAATGCCAAAAGCGTTGCCAGGACGAAGCGAGGAAACGTCGTGCGCCAAACGCAAACGGAACGTGCCAGCGAACACAGTGCGTTTGTCTTATTGAAGATGGTAAGTCTGTTGTCTTCTCCTAGTGAGTCCGATGTCAAGCGTGATTGCCCATTTGCTACCTCTACTTGGGTAAAATATATATATCTGGGAGAAATGTTCTTTCTTTTATTCTCGGTTAGTCAATGGTTCGAGCATTTTTATGCAAGTGCTTCTGATAAAAGCGCAAAGTGAAGATTCGTTATGACCACCCGACTTTATTTGAACTGGTACTCTGTACAAACGATATTTGCAATAATGAAAAACTTGTAAGTGATGTTGTTGAACCTGCGTCACACTGAAAATAGCGTTGCAAATTTTCCGATCTGTTCTTCTACAAAAGAGATGAAAGCGTCAATGCGAAATCGCTGCGAAAACTGAGCCACTTTTTGTTTTTCGTGTACTCGTATATAAGACGTGCATCTAGGGCACATGGATATAAAAATGCCAGAAAAATACGACAGGGCAAGTAACATCGGCAGCTGACATACGGCTTCATGCGCATCATGTTTTCTGTAACTCAAGAAATTGTTGCAACAATTTTACAAGTAACCGCTGTATGGTTTCGTTGAAGGAGATCTTCTGCCTTACGAATCAATTATTGCCACTAAAATTTCCAGAATCCGTCAAGTACGAGCGAGCGGAGACGGAGGGTTGTCACACGCTAGAATTGCATGCCCTACCTAATGTTTCATCCTGAACAACGCGATGGAAGCAAATATGGCAGGGATAGCACGAAAGAAAAATGTTACGTCACATACGCGTCATGGAATGGAGCCTAATTTTTTCCTTGGAAGGCACGGCTAAAATGGCTCTTCTTGTAACTCACGCTGAAGTGAGTGAGTGCGCGGGCACGTCGCGCCATTCCGCTGCAGCCACGGCTACTATGCAACTGACGGTCTTTTGGTCAGCCAATAGCCGTGAACTTTCAGTTTGGGGTGCAGAGATTTATTGTCCATGGCAATATGTTTTGAGAGGTGAGAGGGTGATTTCAAGATTTCATGCTGACTTTCAGATTCAACAGAATTTTCTAGGCCCCGTGTTGCATGCACTATAATGTTTGCCTCACATGCTCTCTCATTCCTCGAGTAACAATTGGCAGCGTTTTGCAATGAGGTTCAGAAATTGTTGCAGAAGCCCTTTGAGGAAGTTAAAAAGTGTTTTATACAATAGCGAAAGAAAAGAGTAGCTCGGTCGCTCAAAAGTCGAAAGCCACAATGTTTTTGTTTTTTTTTTCTTTACCCATCTACCCCACCTCTCCGCCCTCTCTCGAAAGCTTTTCGCTTTTTAACTTGGTGTCATACGGCCTCCGAGGTCATATTCATTGCAATCGTTTTGCATATCACGTGGTTATGCGCAATTGTTTTATGCAATCAATTGGTCATAGGTCGGCCTACAACACTGCCCATATTTGAATTATTGACAATATGAGATAGTTACGCCATGACGTTACACCATGACGGCATCCCAGTTTTTACGATATGTGACTTCACAATGAAGTCATGTGATGTGAGTCCATCAAGGCGCAAGTGCCATTAGTTTTTTTGACGGGGTCTTCTAAGAATATGCCTCGCAAGGTCTCGCAGTGCCTCGCAATGATTCGCGCAAGTTTCGTGGATGGAAGTGCCAGCCCAGCCAGTGAAGGCTTTCGGCTTAATGCGAACATGAAGCACTTTTTTACAAAAAAAAACCTTTTGATAGCGTAATAACGGTTTGATTCCTGCTCACATGGAAAATCAATTTTAGAGTTCTCAGGCGTGAATGCCAATAGAATGTTTTACAGCGAAAGCTGTTATAGATCTAAACTCGGAACACGCGTGGTGTCTATAGTTGTCCACCGCCACCGCCACCACCACCACCGGTGCCCGTAACCACTATCGCGAAATAAAAGAAAAAAAACCTATACCAAGGACACAGGTTGGCTAAAACTCGGGTCCGCTGCTTGCCAGCCCAGTATTCTACAACTGAGCCACGCCGGTGCTTGGGACTTGTTCGCACACTTGAGTTAGATAGGCTTGATGTCAGGAAAGAAATCGCGTTAATACGAGTAATAAAATGTTTTGAAACTGCAAAGGAAGAACTATGCATCACACAATGCGAAAAGTCTAACGACTGGGTTGTCCTATGCTCTAATTAACTACAATAGCTTGTTTTTGATCACCTATTAACAGTGGTCCAGACCCAATTGAGGCATAATTCCTGATTGTTGTCAGGCACTGCTCGAACAATTGGCACAAATGTCCTTGCAAGTGTTTAGCGGATACATTGGTTCGCAGAATAATGACAAAAAATAGCATAGCGAATGCCGGTGAAATACCCAGCAATTTTAAATCCTAATGCCGTAGTGGGGGCCAAGTAAGTGTTCTTGCAGCAGTTCCCAAATGAGTGTTTAAAAAAGGCTCTGGAAAGCCGCTCTTCTAGCATTCGCTGTAACTGTGCTGCGCCTTCTACGCAGGTCTGGCGTTTTCTTTTCTTCTTTTTTTTTGGACTGACGAGAGTGCACAGCTTGTACTATACTGGCACAGCGCAGGAACCAACCGTGGAGCTAGTTTTGCTAATATTGTCAGGATTCTGCTGAAGATGCCACCTTTGTTTTGCTAGTAGCACATAGCACGGCTTCATTTGGCTGTTCTGCGGTTTTTGTCGGCCCTTCACACTATGCACGTGTCATGCGGCTTCGACAGGAACGTGTCACGTGAAAACCTCTTATCATGCAACATATGCGTGTTGTTATGTGATGCTACGTCGTTTCAGTCACGTAACTAGATGTTACATGATGTCATGATGGTATTTGGAAGCAGAAAAACACAGATTGTACATAATACCTGGACTGATTTTTCAAAATTTTGGCTCTTCTAAACGTAATGTCACGTCCTTCTAGTGCCGTGACAAGTTCGTACCTGATTTTACATGATTTTCAGTCACGTAACAGACTCTCCCACAGTCGCTACTACGTTCAACGCCGGATAAATAGGTGCACGTGTTGTGAGAGCGAAACAATAGTTAAAGCAGAGACCACAGCTAGCGCGTACTGGTTCGTGATGAATTCGGGAGCACATATATTCTTCCTGTACTGCTTTTGGCCGGTGAACGATGCGAGGTGGTGTACCGCTACCGCCTGCTCAGTCTCTTTGTAAATACTGTGGAGGATATTCTTTTTCTCGCATGGTCTAGGATACCAGCCCTGCAAGCCTTTCTCGAATTTGCGGCTCCTGAGGACCTCGACGCCCTATATACGAACGCCTTCGCTTCATTCTCCCTGCCTGGAGCGACAAGATACCCTATGGTGCTCTACTATGCAGTTGTCGCTGCCTTCCTTCGCACTTCCCATTCTTTCTACGGCGCTGAGCCTTGCCCCCATAATGGAAGGTAGAAGATAGCGTTCTTTAATTTTCTTGTTCTTTCTAGAATATTTCTCTGACTCTCCTTCATGATAATAATAATTCCTCTTCGCCCAACCTGTCGCAATTAAAATCTTAAAAAGTCCCGCTCTTAAAGGGGCCCTGTAACACTTTTCTGAGTAATCTTCGAGGCGTTTCAATAAAGGATTGTATTGCCTCTTTAGTTCAGAAAGGGTAATTGTCATTCATCTGGGTGGGCTAAAAAAGTAACGCAAAAAAAGCTGTCTCTTTGTCCGAGAGGCGAAAAACGAGTTTGCCGATGCACACCTGAAATGTAAGGAATGTCCTCAGTTATGTCGGTACTTGTTGTTGTCAGCAAACACTGACTGACTATCTAAGTGAGTGAGATTTATTTTACGCACGCGCAAGCAAAAACGGACTCGTCTTATTTATCGAGCGCGAATACTGGCTTTCATAGTGCTGAAATTTCAGCACCAAGGGACGTGCGTAAGCACGCTAAATTGATTCTCGATTCATTAGAACAATGTGAGCTGACGCGTTCTGCACGAGGTGGAAGAGCACATGAAGCCAGCGATCATCTCCACTTGCACAGTGTTTGAGACTGTAGCCGTTGACATAGAAAATGGGGCGTACGTGCCGCCATTCACAAGCGCTGCCGAGGCGAGCAACGCGTGCCCTGTTCCCGGGTGGGCAAGCATGTTCGACGATTGGGAGTTAGATTTTTGCCGGCTTTAAGTTCATCTTTCATTTGGTGCATATGATTTCCCTCTAGATGTTATATCCACTGTATAAAAATAAAGAAAATGTGTACAAGGCAAAATCACACAAAAACTTGACATGAAATTAACTACAGAAGTGGCTTCACGGGCTTGTAATAACTGCTGTGACATGTTTAGCACACAACACACATTTTAAAGCGAGTTTATCTGTACATCGTTGTGCGGAAACAAAGCGTGGCTTTTTATGCGGAAATATCACGATAAGCTTTAGTGAAAACGCCAGCGAAGATCTGAAAAATGTGTGGTGTGAGAGATGTGCATTGCGATTAAGATCATTGTGACCACATGTAGTACTAGAACTTCCTTCGTCCAATGTGAATTGATAGACAACAAAACGGTTTTCCACCACCACTAGCTCACGTCCAGGAATATATGCTCATGGTCACATTCCTTCGACGCCAATACCGGTAAAAGCATGGTCTCCCTGGCAGGGCACGTAGCATTATCATTTGTTTGAACCAGTGCAGCGAAGTGGAAGCACCCATGTAAAGTACAGCAGATGGCACACAAGTCTGTAACGTCACAGCTTTGGCACTCCTCGGCATTTTTTTTCACTTGATAATTCTGTTATCTGGTCACTGTCGCGGCCCCGGAGAATTCTAGACAGGCATATTCAACGGGCATATTCTAAGGGCTTGCGTATTGGATCCCCGAAAGGATACCTAAAAAGTAGGGACAATTGAGGTGTACGACAATTTAGGGCGTGAGTGAACGCCGGTTGGTGTTCAAGGACCGACTCCGAGTCAAGCGTTAGAAACAACAAAAATTATAGCCCCAGTTCAGGCAGTACAAAAATCACGTAAACATACACACTTGGCTGGTTTGATCGCTGTAACACAACTATAATGCATCTCTTAGACAATGCGGAATAATTAATCACATGTGCTCACATCAAAACTCTCGGGAATAATCAAGCACAAGTAAATTCATTTCATAATGCCACGTCGATGCAACGTCGATGAAGGAACCAGGCTGTACGACGAAGATGAAACTGTTTGTTCGGTAGAACTTGTGACCGGTGAACGCAAAGTGAGATTACAGCACTACACACTGGCACTGATAGTGATGAACAGAGCATCGGCCATCGGTCAACTGAGAAGCGGGGAAGCGCGTCGGCATTTATACATGTGCCGTCGAATATTCGAGCATCATCACTAGCAGTATGTAGGCTCCAGAATTATCTGTAAAGTTCGTGTAGTGTGAAGAATGTTAACATATAGATCTACTACAGTCCTGAAGGTTCTCGAACACTGCAGGTCTGGATGTGCGCTGAGAATCACTTACTATGTACTGGGGCGATAAGAAAATTCGACGAAGGAATTTGGCAATCATAACCTAATTGAGGAGTCCCTTTACGTAAGCTGTCGCACGGAAGAGTCGTTCCCTTTCAGAGCCATTGATCGTACGTCTCCAGGCTGACACTCTTCCAAACTTTTCATTGCTGCCAAGGCGTCATCTCTGCAAACTTGAAGGGTTGCTGATGGCACTTTATCATGAAAACAAAGGCAGCTACTCACTAGTAAGGCCAAGCCTAATAATAGTGATGGGCTGGGCAGCCTTTTTTGTTTCACTTTCCGTTCTTTTTGTTTTCTTTCTTCTTCTGTTTATTGTTCTTGATTTTCTTTCATCTTTTTCTAGTTCTTGCTTGTTTCCTCTTTAAATTTGTGTACGTGGTTTGCGTTATCTTGTTTCCCTGCCATAGAAGCAATGTCCGCACTTGGTATCATCATCAAGGGGCTCGAAGAATAAGATGAATAAGTCTTACCCTTGGCGTGAGTGCGCGCTCAATATGCAACAACTGGCTACGCGCTACGTAGTTGTGCCAGCCTTTCGCCAAGTGACTGCAATATCGTACGACAGCCTGACCCCCTAGAGTGTTCTGCACTTTAAAGGTTTCTGTAACACTTTTTGAGCATGCTCAGGAAGCATTGCCGATTGGTAGTCGTGGCTGCAGCGAACACGCGAGCAAAATATTATGACACAGAGCACGTTTCGAATTCATGCTACCGTAGTTTCTCAAAGTTAGCTGAAAATCGCTTTCCTTTCTCTCTGCAAATGACACAACAGGCTAAAAATTTCTGCGTCACAGGCCTATAGTATAAGGTATTCTGTTATTTTACCATCACCAACACAGTCCGCGTTTCCTGTTTTTGCAGCCGGCACGGGAGACCATGACTACTCCACGCGTGCGCATGAAATCGCACCGCTAAGTTGCGCATTCGAAGAAAAAAAAACATGGCTGATACCCCTATATAGTTATCAGTATGACACTAAAGGGAAACGTGTCTTTAGAGAGGTAGTTGAGCGTTCATTTTGCACTGTTTCAGCGACAGGAACAAATTGCTAAGTCACATGAAGAACGACAGGCAGCTCGAAGCTTGCAGCGCACACCTCAAGCAGAAATCCCACGAGAAATTAGCATACACAGAACGAACGCGGACTAACAACCGCCTCAGCTCAATGCATGAAGCACGCCCGTCAAACACAAAGACGCACGAAACGATTGCAAAAATATACACGAGACAAGCCTTTTGTAAAGGCGGCCAGGGTAGCGTGTGAAGCGACATTCGTCCTCTCCCGAATTATGAGTCTGACATGCGCGCGCGCAGATGAGAACACGCTCGATGAAATCGGAGCTTCGTGGAGCGACGACCTTTAGAGTGGGCCCAGCGTGAGCCCATCACGCTATCTCGCCACTAATAATGAGCACGCGCTAAAGTTTCGAAGCTCTGAGGAGTGTCAAACGGTGTATAAGAAACCAAAGCTCAAGGTTGCGGGGCGACGACAACGCCGGGCATGGCTTTGGTGGCGAGCTCCGCGGAAGGGAGCATAGGCGCGGGAGAGGGCGTACGCGATTCTGTGTGTTTCGCCGAAACGAAATCGCTTGCGACACGCGCGGAACGCGTTCTGCAGTCAGTGCGGACAAGTAAGGTGCCGTGCTGACAGCTTGGCGCGCTGAAAGGAGACGCTCGCTGTGCGAAGTTGCCTTTGTGCAATGGAAGAAGCAGCCCCACGGAAGCGTTGGCGAGGCCTAAAGTGTTGTTGTGTAGTGGGCTGCTACAATAATGCAGACAACACCAAGAGATGCTCTCAATGCGTGAAGCTGTATCGTTTCCGCGGCAAATCGCAGCCGGCCAACACAGCCGCGTTCGTGAATGATAGAGCGAGCATAACACGAGAGCCCCCCAAAAAATGAGATGAGCACTTGAACTTGACTTGCAGTGGTTAAAGCTCAGCTTGCTGCCTCACGGCAAAATCGGTGCGTCTTGCTTCCACGACAGAAAAGACATAACTTTTAAACTTCTCGGACATTTTAATGCAATGACCGTATGCCTTTAGTTTTTATTTATTTTAGCTGGCTGCAAATGTTTGCACATGACAGTAGACAGCTGCTACGGCTAGATACTACATCTAAGCAACAATTATGTGGTTTTCATAAACGTCAATGCAACACATCAATAGAGTACGCGGCTTCATGTCGACAGAATGTGACTGACCTACGTGCTAATGTCACGGACCTGAGAAATGCATCTCGCAGTGACTCGGGTGTCCTCATCTTCTGTCGCCTGCTCCACATCAGAAACTTGACTAACGAAACTTGACCATCAGGAACTTGATCCTTTTGTGATATTCGCTTCTCGGAAGTGCTTGTCTAGCTCAGAGATCTTGATGAAGCCGCACTGCAGGCGGTACATTGTGAACTGACTCAAATGCACCACGTTTTCTCTTCACGACCATGTAAGCGGGCGGCAGAGCGTTTGCGGTAAAGGGAAACGTATGATATACATTCCTTATTTTCACTTTTTTGCCAGAGATGGCACTGCCTGTCCGGAGTCGCAGTGCCACCATGCGTTGCTTTGGCTTCCTACGGTGTATATAAAGCGCTTGCCGTTAGCGTGTGTTCTGTGGTGTACTAGTTAGAACCGCGTGCTGAAAATCAAGAGGCCGCTGGTTGTATTTCACCGGACAAATGCTTGCCTTCTGGTATTTTTCTTTGCGTTCTCTTAGTATATATTTTCAAAGTCACTTGCGTGACGGAAATAGGTTACTAGAGCCGTCAGCGGAACCCCGCATGAAACACTTTCGTGTTAAAAGAGAAGAAAAGAGGAGTGCTCAAGGTCACGAGGCGCTCGTGACAAATTTTTCTTCCATGCCACTCCTCCATGTATAAAATTTTTAGAGTAAAAATGAAATTGAAAAGGAGGTGACGATATGTTCGGGCCCTATCTTCGTGAAAAACGGCCGACCATCTCACTTGCGGGAGCGGTTCGCCGTAGTTTTGCTTGGGGTGTTTAGTGTTGCTGTTTCTTCCAAGCTGTGCGAAAGCAGAGGAAGGGCAAGTAGAACCTTTCCATTTTCTGTGAAACATAAAACTCGGGGACAGACGCTGTGGTATCTATTCTTGAAGGCACGCAAAATCGTTTGTCGCCTCTGCCTTTAAATAAAAAACAAATATGCACCACACAGTGCACCCAAAAGATAACCAGTCTATTAAAGTATTTTCTGAACATATTCTCCTTCGCTGCAGCTTGACTCAAATTTTGTCATTTCCCTGTTACATCAAGTTACAACAGAGTTTACGTTTCCTGTTCTCTGGGGGCGATGTTTCGAATTGGCCCTCAAGACTCCATGATGATAAGTTCTAAAAAATTAATTGCTCGTGATATCAGTTCTGTTTCTTAATTAGCACCATCAATGTCATTTGTGTGTCCCAGTGTATTGACATCTCGACGTAGGGTATGTGTGATAAAACTACGGGAGCATGACTTTCAAAAAAAGTTTTTATTTAAACCCGTATTGCCTAAAAAGTACCCTTTACAACGTGCACTTCGCCACTTTTTGCCACTTAGTTTGACGATTCTGGAAAACCATACCCATGTTTAAGAAATTTTTTTTGTGACTCTTACAGATTGTGATCAGCAGGAGTGTAACGGAGCGTGCCAGAAAAAATACCCAGGAAGGCCCAGCAGAGCCAAAGGACAGTGCATAGATGGGGAATGTACGTGCCGGCGTGTACCATAAATCAAGGACGTGCTGGAACTTCTTCGGATAGATGCACGGTGCAATATTACGGCTGCCTTGGTGTTTCCAATGCAACTGTACTGCTGAGCAAAATGCAAAAAATACAGTACATTTGTTTCATTGCGTCATTTTTTTCACTTACTAAACGCTAATCTCCAGCCATATTCACGCAAAATTACTTTAGAATGATGCTGTGCCTGGATGTGCTCGTGTATTGCCTCTCATACTCGTGTATAGTCAAGCAATCGCAGTTGCATAATGTTTCCCTGATAGTGTTTATGCTGCTCTTAGTGCAGCTACGAAAACAGGGGGCTTTAGAAACTGCTGCTATAATCTTGATCGCGCAACCATGGTGCAAAAACCGAGTGTTGCCTTTCATTGCGGTGGCCTCAAATCAAGTCATGTCAAGCTTTTTAGAAATTAAAAAAGGGGACTTGTAAGGATTCCTTTTCTTTGTAAGACAAAATATCAAGGAGCAAAAAGAGGCAATGAAGCGAAGAAAGGTATAAGAAATGGCAGTGTTAGTAATAATGAAATCAATGTGAAGGAATTAAATTCGAGTAAACGGAGCTGGGATGCCGACCGGGACTGTATCAGCCACCTGCGAATAACGCGTCTGATGCTCAACCAGTTGAGCAGGCTCGGTTGGGCAAAGATACTTTAAACGTGTATCGTGATGCAATGCAAGATACTCGGGAAAACAGCATGGGAGATACACATAGAAGATACTGGCGCAAAAATTTTATCCGATGCGATACTTCGCAATTTTATCTAGAAATACTTCGATGAATTCAAACTTTTGTTGTGACGCACAAACTCAATGTAGAAGCGAATGCATACGCACGAAAATTGCGCTTGAAAGTTTCTGAATGTGCCCAATATCTTATTAACGATTGGCTTTGTTGATTCATTGATTGATATGTGAAGTTTAACGCCCCAAAACCACCATATGATTATGAGAGACGCCGTAGTGGAGGACTCCGGAAATTTCGACCACCTGGGGTTATCTAACGTGCGCCCAAATTTGACCACACGGCCCTACATTATTTCCGCCTTCATCGGAAATGCCGCAGCCGCTGCTGAGATTTGATCCCGCAAGCTGCGGGTCAGCAGCCGAGTACCTTAGCCACTAGACCATCGTTGCGGGGCCTCAAAAGTTTTATCCAAAAGTGACTTAGCTTACTTCCGAATAACATATCATCTTTTAATTTAGCTGCTTAGTTATCAGAACAGCTTTGCAGACACTTAGCTGACGGCGATGTGTACTTGTTATGTCTGCAAATAATGGTAGTCGCTGCTCAGCTTGCCACCAGGCAGCGGATTGACATGTAACCACATGAGCTTCAGTTGCCTTACCATGATGGCACAAAGAACGCTATGCAGTTTCTGCTTGTTCTCAAGAAGCTGTTTTGATATACCAAATTATTGTTTTACAGCAGCAACAACGATGATAGTGACATTGTTGTGGAATATAGCGTACATAGGCGTGTGCCGAGTGCATGGAGCTGTTACTACTTTATTATTCTGTTTATGTGCTGGCGTAAATTATAGGTTACTCTTACACTCACTGGTTTGCTACCATTTTTCATAATCGAGAGAACATGTGCATATATAAAACGCGTCAGATCAATTGTATTGTCCTGTAACGGTGACTATGAAGAAAGCGGCTGTCATTCTGGTAGAAAGGAGCCTCACTGGTAGGCGAAATTGTTCCTAGAAAACTAAATAGGTCAAAGTACAGTCAAAGCGCGCTGTACTCATAGCGGTAATAAGTGTCGTTGGCCTTCGGTAGTCTGTTCATCGGGAGAACGCGTCTATTTCTACAGCAGCGATTGCACCTTTTGGCATTATCACTCGTGCAAGCGTAAGCTCGCGAATAATGAAGAATGTGCGTACTGAGCGTAATCTGAATATTAATTATTCGGTGTTTGCGTACTAAAACTACAATATTCTTACGAATAACGCAGGAAATGAGGGCTCTGGAAGCTTGATCATGAGTTCTTGTGTTGATCATAGAGCCAGTATGTTGTATAGATAGCCACAGTGTTGTGACTGTTTTGTGTGTGAAGTCGATAAATGTTTTTCTTGTCCTTGTTTTCAGTTTCTGCCTCTGAAGGCCCAAGAAACACCACATTTGGCAACTCTATGCCAGGATGGCTTATTAAAATTTAAAGTCATGACTTTGAGAGAGCCTTTGTCATGGTTAGCGAAAAAATTATTGCACTTGGCTGACAACTTGGCTGACAGGTCGGGTTGGAGAACGAGGAGCCTAGAGATTGGGTCGAACGAGAGTGCGTTGAAGCTCGAGATGAGCGTGCTAATGAGCGCGAGCTCACGAAAGAAAACGCAGAGCGCCAGCAGAAGCTGTTAGAGCAGCAGCAGAGGGTGCAGGAACAAGAGCTAAAGATCCTCGAGCTGAAGCTTCGACTTCAAGAGAGCACAAACAGGGTACAGTCGATGGTGGCTGACGAACAAGGAGAATCCAGCATGAGCTCCAGAAGAGTAACAGAGGTCTGCAGTCCTCATAAACTGATTCCGCACTTTAATCAAGCTGAGGATGACCTCACCGCGTACATGCAGCGATTTGAGCGGGTCGCAACGTGTCAAGCGTGGCCGCGTGAAAGTGGGCTATTTCGCTTAGCCTATGCGTGACAGCTAAAGCATTAACAGTCATAGCCCGGTTATAATCAACAGATGCGGTGAATTATGAACAGCTGAAAGCGGCGCTTCTTCCGAGGTTACGCTATACTTCGGATAGCTACCTAAAAAATTTCGTAAAGCGAAGTTCGAAGAAAACGAAACTGGTCTGCAGTATGCTGCGAGACTCCCGGGCTACTTTGGCCATTAGCTTGAAATGAGAAAAACGGAGACAAGCTTTGCTGGCTTGCGAGACCTGATGATAAGGGAGCAATTCCTAAAGGGTTGTTCTCTGACACTCAGAATCTTTCTAAAGGAAAGAAGTTGAAAAACCCTGAGTTCACTGTGCGAGACTGCCAATAACTTCGTGGAAACACACGCGCTCACAAGCTTAGGAAGAAAATGGATTCCTAAGGATCTGGGACCTTCGGTGTCCATGCCGGAGTCCGCTGAAAACACGGAGAAGCCTGCAAGTCGCTGTTTCCTGTGTGACAAAAAAGACCATTGTCCAGCCGACTGCAGGTTCCGCACGAAAGAGAATACGTTCAGCCGATGCGGAGTATGTAATGAAACGGGTTGTTGAACAAGCAGGAAATGACTCGGCGAAGGAGAGCTTTATTTAGCGCAAGGGCTAACTGAACGCAAGCCTGCGATCACAGCAAGTCTTCTTCCTTTTTATACTCGAGCTCCATGCCCACTGCCCTCGTTACAATCACCCCCGGCCGATGAGGGAGCAATCCTGGCGACCTAAGGACAGGTGTACACAGAAGGGTCATGGTATGGCTTGAGCCGAGAGATGTGTACGATTTCTTCTCGCCGACGGCGCTTGTCCGGAGATGCATCCAGCGGCTCGACAACGTAGTTGACAGGGGTTGTTCGGCGTACAACTCGATGAGGGCCATGGTAGCTGGACGAAAGCTTGTGGGAGAGCCCTGGAGGAGTAGAAGGAATCCATAACCACACCAGTGAGTTCGAAGCAAAGCTCATATGCGTGGTTGACGCATCGTGGCGATGTTTATGGCGCGTCTGGTCATGTGACGTGAACGCACGAGCAAGCTTCCGACATTCTTCAGCCTGTGCTGCTGCTCGAGAAACGGTAGTCATCTCTGAAGGGTCCGGTCGATAAGGAAGAATGGTATCCATTGTTGATGATGGCTCGTGTCCATAAAGAAGGAAGAAAGGCGAAAATCCAGTGGTTCTTTGCGTTGCAGTGTTGTAGGCATATGTCACAAAAGGGAGTCATCATCATCATCTTCATCATCGGCCTGACTACGTCCACTGCAGCACAAAGGCCTCTCCCATGTTCCGCCAGTTAACCTGGTCCTGTGCTTGCTGCTGCCAATTTATACCCGCAAGCTTCATAATCTCATCTGCCCACCTAACCTTCTGTCTTCCCCTAACCCGCTTCCCTTCTCTGGGAATCCAGTCAGTTACCCTTAATGACCAGCGGTTATTCTGTCTACGCGCTACATGCCCTGTCCATGTCCATTTCTCCTTCTTGATTTCAGCTATGATATCTTTCACCCCCGTTTGTTCCCTAATCCACTCTGCTCTCTTCTTGTCTCTCAAGGTTACACCTACCATTTTTCTTTCCATTGCTCGCTGCGTCGTCCTCAATTTAAGCTGAACCCTCTTTGTAAGTCTCCAGGTTTCTGCTCCGTAGCTAAGTACCGGCAAGATACAGCTGTTATATACCTTCCTCTTGAGGGATAGTGGCAATCTACCTGTCATAATTTGAGAGTGCTTGCCGAATGTGCTCCACCTCATTCTTATTCTTCTAATTACTTCAACCTCGTGGTTCGGCTCTGCGGTTATTACCTGCCCTAAGTAGACATAGTCTTTTACAACTTCAAGTGCACTATTACCTATCTCGAAGCGCTGCTACTTGCCGAGGTTGTTGTACATTACTTTCGTTTTCTGCAGATTAATTTTAAGACCCACCTTTCTGCTCTCCTTGTCTAACTCTGTAATCATGAGTTGCAATTCGTCCCCCGAGTTACTCAGCAATGCAATGTCATCGGCGAAGCGCAGGTTACTAAGGTATTCTCCATTGACTCTTATTCCTAACTGTTCCCATTCTAGGCTTCTGAAAACCTCCTGTAAGCACGCGGTAAATAGCATTGGGGAAATTGTGTCCCCCTGCCTTACACCCTTCTTGATTGGTAGTCTGTTGCTTTCTTTATGAAGCACTATGGTAGCAGTTGATCCCCTGTACATTTCTTCCAGAATGTTTATATATACTTCATCTACGCCCTGATTCCGCAGTGTTTGCATGACGGCTGATATTTCTACTGAATCAAACGCTTTCTCGTAAACTATGAAGGCTATGTATAGTGGTTGGTTATACTCTGAGCATTTCTCTATTACCTGATTGATAGTATGAATGTGGTCAATTGTTGAGTAGCCTGTTCTAACTCCTGCTTGTTCCTTTGGTTGATTGAATTCTAATGTTTTCTTTACTCTGTTAGCAATTACCT